ACAGCCTTTTAGTTTATTCCTATTGATATTTGACCTAAATTATGTCTGAGTATTTTAGTAGATTGGTTTATATCTTACTCAGCTTAAATCCTAACAGCCTCAGTACTAAGTCTAAAAACATACTTCCACTTTCCTCAGTTTACTCCTGTGTAGAAAAAAATACCATAAAACTGAAGAGAACAGTTGTCTTGATTACATGAGATATAGCTTAATATGGGCTCTACATTTATTACCCAGTTAGTAATATGAAATTATTTTCCCTCTCTTAAAACTACTGCATTTAATATTTTTAACTTTCCACCACTTAGGAGTTCAATTAAATCAATTAAAATTATTGTGCCTCCTAAAGTTCCTTCTGGCAAGGTAGTATTTAAAGAATAAACCTAATACCTAAACCAAATACTGAAATTAACATCAATAAAAATTGTTAATTGAAATTGTGTACATCTTCATTAATTTGATATTTGTCAATAAAGATTATATATACAAAGCATTTCACTAGGTACTGTGAGGTAAACAAAAATTAATATACCACAGTTCACAGTTATGCCATTTACATTCTGATAAACCTTTAAAAGTTTTCATTTAGTGTCAACAAAAACGGAAAGATAAAGAGAGGCCAGGAAAATGCCTTTCCACTGGCATATAAAGTGAGTGGGGCAAAATGACAAAAAATTAAGCTCTCATGCAAATAATAGTATTGCCAATATTTGTATGAACTGCTGTGGAAATAAATCTGAAACTTATTCAGTCTCCACGAGATGCTGTGGACTTGTGTTCCACTTCCAGTTCTATAACTAACCAGAATTTGAAAAGACAATGCTTTTCTCTCACTGCCTGCAATTCCTCGTCTCTAAATAAAAGGGTATGGTCAGAAGATCTGTAAGGGCCTGGAGCACTGCTAAAATTCATAGTCTGTGCATCCATTGTTTTTATTAGAAGAATCTCTACAATAATTTAGTCACAAAGTGTGAGTGAAGGAACTGTTATTAACTTATGGTTTAAACTCTCCTTTCACCAGAAGAGCCAAATGATATTGGCCAAAGTAGACAGCTTATCCATGCAGAACAATGTCAAAAACTCAAATCTAGTCACTAATGAGCATGTCTTCAAATTTTTATAAACTTCTAGAAAATAATTATATTATTCATTACTCACCCAAAAGTTGATATTTTGAGAGTGTGTATGCCTTTGCAAATCTTCCTTTTCTGTTTTTCTATAGATTGTGTTATAATAGGACATTTAAAAATATATCGTTAGTTAGTTTTCTTTGTTAAAATGGGCTTTTAAGTTCTCTCAAGTTATAGTCACCCCAGTAGTGTTGAAACGCTGATAATTGTGAGAAGTCTGCAAACTCAAATGCATTATCATTCACTGACAAGAACTGACAAATAAGGTGTTAACTCAACTATGCTAACATGGCGAGTTGACATTTAGATATGCTTCTGTGGCAACGTCACTCATTTTTAAACACAGTGCAGAACATTTTATTCACTTTTCCCTTTCAAAGTGGCTAATTTGATGGTTACTCATGCTGAAAACATTTTAAATCTTTCTGGATGTTTAGAGCCTGCTGCACATTAATGCTAGGAAAGCATTATGAATTGTATGTAGTGCATATGAATTGTAGTCAAGTTAAATTAATATACTTGGCTAAATTTGGGGATAATATGTTGGCTAAAAACGTAACATTAGTACTTAGTGGTGATGTCTGGATATAGTCCATTAAGATGCTTCTAACAAAAATTTTAAAACATAGAGGTAGAAATATAAATAGAGACCTAGGTGTTGAAAATTTCAGTTCACATTTAGTCTTTAGCGGGAAAATTGTATGATGAGCAGTGAATTGGGAACCGTGCTCAGTCCGCATGAAATGTGAGTGACACCTTTTAATTTGTATTGAGTTCCCATAATTCTGTTACTTTCAGCATTGGATAATCACACAGACTAAGGCACACAGATCACATATGCTATGTCTCTGTCAACACAAAATTATTATGCAAACATCACGGTTTCTTAATACTCTTACCTTAGATTACAAGGGAGGAACCATGATTATCGGGAAAAGAAACTGTCAGTGCTCCGCTGTCATCTCATTTAGACAATGGCCATAGCTGGAGGTTCTAATCCAGTTTAATTATATATTGCTCAGTCAAGTTTTTTTAATAAGAAAGAAAAACAAAGTTGACCTAATTTAAGCAAGCATTCAAATAATAAAAGGAATTAATAGGCATATAAGATTAACTCATTGAACCAAAGAACTGTAAATATAGTTGGACCTCACATGGGATGTGAGCATGAATAGAAGGCTGTGTCAGCCCATTCTTCTTCTCTATAGTAAACACACTGTGTTTTGGGCTATTCTCACCACCAAAGTTCATATGTCTTTTTTCAGTTGACCAGCATAGTCTATCCCTGAATTTCAAGGAATTCAGTGAGAGCTGATTGGCCCAGCCAGGGTCAGGCTTCTCCCCCAGATCAGATCAGCTGAAGGCAGAGAAGCAGGATCGTGAGCCCACTCTGCATGTGTTGGGGCTAGGAAGAATAGGGAGACAGGGTTCAGAGAAGGAGAGCTCATGACCTAGGTATAACCCAAAATGTACCCACTTACAATATATTAAAATATGTTAAAATTCAAGTAGAACTTGAAATGAGTTAGTCAAAACAAATCTTAACAATTGTGCCATATGGTATTTCTAGAGTAATTAAATGTTATTTATTTCATTACATAATATTTCCGTCTATAGCCTTCAAGCCCCCACAAAAAAGAGACATATAATAGGAAATACTGTCCTCAGAGTATACCTCAATAAATAGGTGTTTTTGAGAAGGAAAGGGTTTTTTTTCCTTAAATTATCAAAAGCTTGTGATTTTGGAGCTTGCTTTGCTTAATTTTGTATACACAAATTCAGAAACACTGTGCCTTGAGCTCTCTGGAGCAAAGGCATTGCATGTATAATTCTAACAAACGTTTACGCTTGTCTCAGTCTTATCTGAGCCTGTGGTAAAGGTCAGGCAATCGCTAAACGGTTCAGTGATTCTAACTGATGAAACTAATGTCCGTCTGTGTAAAAGCAGACATTTTGGACGTGTCTCGATCTTTATCATGATGGATCAACTTAGAAGACATTGCCAATCTGCACCCTCCTTCCTGGTTCTTGTACTAACTGCACCACTGAGTCACCACGTTACATGGTTCACACAAACATCTAATTCTTATAAATACTTCATACTTTTATTCTGAAGGTAAACTAATAATCATCCTTACTTGATGTGAATTTTTGTTATCTAACAGGCAGCATTGATCACCTCGGCATCAGACTCTTGATGCACTCCCACTTATTTGCCCACATGCACCCATACTAATTATAGAAAGAGGAGGAACAGCCCTTTTTGAACTTAATAATATTTAAAAAGAAGTTAGAACAATTTATATAAGCAACAACTCAAGTCAGGCTTTATAATTATAGTAAAAGCAGATATACATAAAGATAAGAAGGGCTGACATTAAACAACATCCAGAGACAGAAATCTCTCAAGTAACCAAACATTTGTATCCTTTCTTTATTTAACCCAATCAGTATTAACCCCCCCAAGGCTAACTTGGTCCAGATAGAATCTTACTTGGAAGCCTCAGTAAATGGCATCTGAAAGCCTTTCCAGGAACCTTAGGCATGGTTGTTTGTCACATAGAGTTTCCATTGTATCACTGCTTGCTTTTGGTCTTAAACTGTTTATCCTTTGTCTTTCACACTGCCTGACATCCTCATAGGAGATTCAAGAGAGCAGTTAACATTTTCCAATGGTGACTATGTGCTCAGCATTTTGGATGTAATATCTCATCGAATTTTTAGAATAACTTCATACACATGAAGGAACCTAGGCTCTGGGATTGTTGTTACTTGTATAAGATTCTCCCACATGTATCTGTACATGTGTATAATTCATTTGTATTCATATTCTTTTCAATATAGGAAACTGAAAAAGGGAATTTATCTAGGGAATAAGTATCATTGTATGAAATAATGTATGACATGATATTCAATGTTGTTCTTGTGCTAAATGTTAATTAAACATAAGAGAACACTAGAAGTTCTAGATTTGTCTGAGATACAAGCTATATGTGGGATTTGGAACCAATAATATTTCCAAGCCCCTGTTTCCTTTTCTCTCTATCCACTCTGTCCCCTCAGCCTCCACACTCTCTACATACTTGCCCCTTTTATATTTTTATCATCGTAAGATAAGAAATAACACATATAAAATAGATTATAGAATAAATTTTTTCCTTAAATGATTTCTTCCCACTTGTTTGGAAACTCAGATTCAAGGAAGTAAATACCTCCACCACCTTTTTCACTGCTATATTCCCTGTCCCCATACTGGTCCCTGAAACTTAGTAAGCACTCAATAAATACTTGTCAAGTAAACAGTATAAACTGAGAAAGAAAAACAGCCACAAAACCTGCCCCATCTGAGTCTTCTTTTCTCTGTGCAGTCAGTTTGTGTTCCTGTGTCTGTATCTTCTGCTGAGGCCTGAGACTGGGGCTATCCTCCCATTTAGATCCCCATTCCCTGGAACGGTGACTGGCGCTGCCAAATGAAAAGCCCTCAATAACTAAAAATTTTCAAAAAGTCTGAAAGATAGGGCTGTTTACTTCATCATCACCCTGACGTTCACATAGGAAGTAGGTTTGAATATCAGAAAACACATTTTCAGAATAATCATAGATGATTATGACAGTAAATCAAAGCAAATAAGGAAAATAAATGAACAAAGATTCCCCAATGTTTCTAGACCTCTGAGGTTACTGAAATTTGTGGATGTATGAAAGAATGAATGTGTGAACTAAGAAAAAAAATCAATTCAAAAGTATAATTATTAAGTAGATCCTAGACCTTTTGTTGGTCAGTAAGTCTTTATCCCTATGCCAGTGAAGTTTGTGTCCTGTGCTGTTAGACCAGAGCCTGCTCATTTTATGTTCTGTGTCCTTCCTCAGTCTGTGAATTTCTGGTACGTACTGGTGATGAATGATGAACACACAGAAAGGCGATATTTGCTGTTCTTCCTTCTGAGTTGGGGACTTCCAGCTTTTGTGGTGATTCTCCTCATAGTTATTTTGAGAGGAATCTATCATCAGAGCATGCCACAGATCTATGGCCTCATCCACGGTGACCTGTAAGTACACCCCGGCAGAACACACTGCCATCTGAGCCTTCATGTAGCCAGGCCACTATATTAGTAGACGGTGGAGGCAGTTGACTAAGTATGACTGAGGAGTAGTACCCAAGGATCTTTGCTTTGCTGCTATACCATCTGAATCTCTACTTCCTCTAATTATTCCTTTAAATAAGAAAGCATTGTACCTCCCAATTCCTTTAATGAATGTAATTTTCTAAGTTGAGTTGGTGTATCAAACACTTGACAGTAATTTGTGCCTTAGCATAATTTGGCTTAGTAGATTGAGACAAAAATACATAGCGAGATAGGCAACTATGAAAATTTTGATAAAGAATAGAATCAGTGGAAAACTTGGAGTGTGGCACATTATCTAAGGAGTGTGGTATTTTTTGAGGGTGGAGGATGGCAGGCACCATCATTTACAAGATCCTTGAATATCAAAAGATGGCTCAGAGTGAATGGAGAGTGTAAAAGTACCTGGGAGGAGACAAGGGTAACTGGGTTCTTTCAATAGATTCTTATTAAAGTACATTAGCAGTCTTGAAATCTAACAAGTCTTTATACACACATGTATATACATGCCTTAATCCTGAATCTGGTATCTGACAGCTCTGAGGACCACTCAGTCCCTTCTATTGACTTCACATGCAGAAAAAAACCTTTATACTTATAAAGCTTAATTAGCTCCCTTGATGTAATCAGGAGTAAAGGAAAAAGTATCATTTCTAAATGAGAAAGAATTAGCCAGTCTTTTGAGAACATATTACCTAATTATCACACAGAAGCCATTTTAATATCATTATTGCCTCTAATCTATTTTGATCATCCATTATATATTCAATAAATATGTGTTATTGATGTATGCAGTATATTTCACCGATAGGCAATCATAGACATACCCCACACACCATTCAACCGAAGGAGACTAGCTATATACTGTACACACACCCACTGAGATACCATGTATAATAATTTTGTCTTTTTATTGAGATTCAATAAGATTTCTTCATACTGATTACTGTTTAGTTCATATGAAAATTTTAAAGCCTAATCTTCTAGAAAGAGATAATTGGGTCTTTTCAAAATTATGTTAGGATATTTTACTACCCCTGGCATTAGTTTAAATCTTGTACTGCCAGAATTAACTTCAGAAGGTTCTGCATTATTCATTGTCAAATACAAAGGAACCATGAGACAAGCCCTGGTGACCAGCCACCCATTCCTTTCATGAACTCACTGGCAAGACAGGATCTATTTGGCAGCAGTTTTAGCGTTACATGTGTACCCACCCAGCCTTGATAAATGGACCTGATGAAAGTGATGTTAATTAGAAGAAACTCTCTCATTGCTTCTAAAAGGATTTTCAAAGAGCGAAATAAACTATTATATAAAAATGTCCAAACTGACTGACTCTTAAAATATTTGCCTTTTCAGCCTTTTGCAAAAAGTTGTTTATTGCCAGTTCCTATAATAATTGAAATGTAAAATATATTAACGTCTGCCTCATTTTAATATTATAGGATTAGACCAAAAGTGGCCAACCTTTATAAGTATCATGGGTTACTTTTCTACTTCATTCACATAGAATATTTCTACATTATGCCCATGGAAATTTATTACATTTTTTAAAAAAGTCTTTATTTTTCAGTGTCACTTTAATCTCAATATAAACATATAAAATACTACATCATGTATGTAAAATATTGCATACCTATATCATTTTAAAAACATGCTTTCTTGCTAGAGGTAATGATAGGATTTGTGGTTGTGTGAAATAACAGCTCATCTGTTGTGTGGTCTTTACTTGTGGTAATAAAATTCTTTTTAATGAACAAATTTCACTGAGTAGATCTCTAATGAATTAATATTTACAGGCTGTTATTTTTTAAATGCTTTTGTCAAATTTTAAAACGGATTATGATAATTTCATCAAAAGAGTTAAGAAGTGATCTCTTTTTTCCTATTAGCTGAAAAATTTTACATTTTTGCTATTATTTTAGAAGATGTCACACAGGAAACCAGCTAATCCTCATGTTTCCTTGCAGGAAGACTTTTTATTACAGATTCATTATCTTTAAAACAGAGAACTATTCATATTTTCTATATCTAGTTCTTTCTGTGTCAATTTGGTAAATTGTCTTCGTGAATGTTTCCATTTCATCTAACTATTCAGAATTTTTAATGTTGGTAAGATCTGCAGTGATGAATCTTTTCTCATTCTTCATATTGATCATTTGTGTCTTCTCTCACTTTTTTTTCTTTCTTGATCAGTCTCCTGGAGGTTTATCAATATTATTGTTTTTTCTCAAAGACAGCTTTTGACTTTCCTTGTACTCTCTATTGTACATTTGTCTTCAGTTTCATTTCAATTTCATCAATGTCTATAGTCATTTTTAAATTTTGTTAGTTTTACTGTCTGGGTTTTCTCCCACATATAGGTTTCCTTTTTCTTTTCTTTTCTTTTTTTTTTTTGCTTACTATGGGCCTGGAACTTTGCATTTATTTTTTTTAATTTCTCCATCTTCCTTGAGATATAACTGACATATATCATTGTGCAAGTTTAAGATGTACAATGTAATGATTTGATACATGTATCTATTGAGTAATGATTACCCCAATAGTATTAGTTAATACCTCCATCACCTAACTCCTTTTTTTTGTGGTAAGAACATTTAAGATTTAACAACTTTCAAATATATGTACGCTATTGTTAACTGTAGTCACCATGCTATTCATTGGATCCCTAGACCTCATCTATCTTATGGAACGTTGCACCCATCGACCAACATTTCTCCATTTCCCTGACTCCTCAGCACCTAGCAACAACCATTCTAATCTTGTTACTTTTAGATTCCTTATGTAAGTGAGATCACACAGTGTTTGTCCTTCTCTGTCTGACTTACTTCATTTAGCATTATACCCTCTATCCATGTTGTAACTGGCAGGGTTTTCTTCTTTCTCTGGCTAAAAAACATTCACACACGTGCGTGCGTGTGTCTTTGTGTGTGTGTGCGTGTGTGTATCTCACACTTGCTTTATCCCTTTCACCTGTGGACAGACATGTAGTTTTCCATGCCTTGCCTAGTGTGAATTAATGCTACAGTGAACATGGGAGGGCAGGTACCTCTGTGAGATCCTGATTTCCTTTCCCTTGAATATATACCTACAAGTGGGATTGCTGAATCCTCTGATAGTTTTATTTTAATCTTCTGAGGAATGTCCATACTGTTTTCCATAATGGCTGTACTAATTCCCATTTCCACCAACAGTCTGTGATCTTTATTATTTCATTCTTTCTGCTAACTCTGATCTTTTAGTTTATTCTTATTTTTCTAGTTCCTTGAGGTGCAAAGTTAGGGTTTTTATTTGAGATCTTTCTCTTTTCTTAACGTAGGTGTTTAACACTATAAACTTTATCTTAAAACTGTTTTTACTGCATCCCATAAGCTTTGGTATGTTGTATTTCCATCTTTGTTTGAAGATTTTTTTTGTTCCCTTTTTGATTTCTCCTTGGATCCGTTGGTTGTTCAGGAGTTTGTTTACTTTCCACATATTTCTGAATTTTCCAGTTTTCCTCTTGTTACTGATTTCTACTTTCATACCGTTGTGGTTGGAAAAGATACTTGGTATAATTTCAGTCTTCTTAAATTTGTTAAGACTTGTTTTGTTACCTTATGATCTATCTATCCTGGAGAATGTTCTGTGTATATGTGAAAAGTATGTGCATTCTCCTGCAGTTGGGTGGAATGTTCTGTATGTCTGTAGGTTTTTTTGGTCTAAAGTAGAGTTCAAGTCCAATGTTTCCTTATTGATTTCTGATTAGATGATCTATCCACTGTTGAAAGTGAGACATTGGAGTTCCCTACTGTTATTATGTTGTTATCTATTTCTCCCTTCAGATTATTTACTTCATGTATTTGGATGCTCTGATGTTGGGTACATAATGTATTTGTGATTGTTATATCTTTTTAGTGAATTGACTTTATATTATTATATAATGGCCTTTTTCCTCTCTTGTTATACCTTTTGAGTTAAAGTCTATTATATGTAATAGAAGTATAGCAACATCTGGTTTTGGTTTCCACTTGATGAATATCTTTTTTCTTCCCTTCACTTTGAGCTTATATGTGTCCCTGAAGCTGAACTGACTCTCTTATAGGTAGTATAGAGTTGGTTCTTTTTTTTTTAAATACATTCAGCCACTCTGTGTCTTTTGATTGGAGAATTTAGTCCATTTACATTTTAAACATTTATTGATAGGTAAAAACTTACTAATGCCAGCTAATTGTTTTCTGGCTGTTTTGTAGTTGCCATGTTCCTTTCTTCCTCTCTTTTTGTCTTCTTTTATGCATTGATGGTTTTCCTTAGTAGTATACTTTGATTGCCTTCTCTTTGTCTTTTATGTGCCCAGTGAAGATTTTGCTTTGTGGTTGCCATGAGGCTTACACAAAACATCTTATGGATGTAACTGTCTATTGTATGCTGACAACTTAATTTCAGTCAGATACAAAAGTTCTATCCTTTTAACTCTTCTTTTGTCTTCAGTGTCATAATTTACCTCTTTTTACATTGTGTATTCATTCATCAATTTGCATAGCTGTAGTTATTTTAGTTTTTTCTTCTAGCCTTTATACTAGGGTTAAGTGACTAATACACTATCATGTTACAGTACTGAGCATTCTAAATTTGACTGTGTAATTGCCTTTACCACTATGTTGTGAAAATATTTTCATGTTTTCATGTGACTAATCTTTCATTTCAGCTTGAAGAATTCCTTTCAGCTTTTCCGTCAGGATGGCGTAGTGGTGGTGAACACCTTCACCTTTTGTTTGACTAGGAAAGTCTTTATTTCTCCTTCATTTCTGAAGGATGGCTTTTGCAGATAGGGGACCATTCATTGGCAGATTTTTTTCTCTCAACACTTTGAATATAGTATTCTACTCTCTCCCGGCCTGTAAGGTTTCTGTGGCTTTTAAGATTCTCCCTTTGTCTTTGAT